CTGTACAATTGATACCGCTGGTACCAGCAGTCAGGAAATGAGACACATTGCACTGGGGAAATTTGCAGTTAGGAAGAGTAATGATGTCAGTTTAAAGACTAAGGTGCATCTACCTGATTCAGGCCAGGGTCTTTCCGAATACTTGCAATGCATCTGATAGGTATACAGTGAATAAGGATGACAGAAAAAGAATTGATGCCTTTTGAGCTGTGGTGTTGGAGAAGAGCATTGGTTATCCCAAGAGAACAATCAGTCAAGAGAACACACAGCTATGTCCTGGGGAGGGTGCAGCCATAGTGCTCTTTGGAGACAAGAATAATGAGGCTTCGCCTCACATACTTCGAACATGTTGCTAGGAAGGGCTACTCCTTGGGGAAAGACATGATGTTGGGAAGGGTAGAGGGTCGGTGAAGGAGAGGAAGACTTTCAACCAGGTGCATTGACATGGTGACTGCAAAAGGCTACTGCGTGTCAGGAAGTGTGAGGATGGCGCAAGATAGAACCGAATTCAGACCTTTTGTTCACAGGATCACTCTCGTAAGTCATACTTGACTCAACGTCACCTAACAAGAACAAATCTCCTGAGGAGCTCCTGAGGATTTGCCCAGCCCGAGCTGCACCACCTTTGAGTCAGCAGAGCAGCTTCTCCTGCACTAGGCCACCTGAGCTACCTCTTAGTGATCTAGTGCTGCTATAACAAGCATCACAAAGGGCTGGCTTTGCGGAAATGCACTATCTCACAGAGTAGGGGGCTATCAGTCCTAGTCCAGGGTCCCAGCTCTGGAGGAAGAGGTTCTCCCCTGTCACTTCTGAAAGGAGGTCTTTGTTTACTTTCACATCAGTAGGTCCAGCATTCCTTGGAGAGTTCCATACGTCTTGGTCTTCTCTATACCTCGGAGTTTCCCTCCAGGGCAAAGATGAGAGAAGCTTACTTCCCAATAGAAAAGTCTCAGTTTCCTTAAACATAAGGCTCCTCAGATGTGAAGCCATTGTTCGTGCAGCACCCAGTTGGGGTGCTCCAACATGGCCCCCCTGGGATGTGGAGGCCAAGAGGAACTGATGAGAACCTGAAGTTCATGTTGCCACTTCATACCGTGCCATCAGTAACACCAGTCCTTTATCTCTGACCCAGGAGTCCCTTGTCCCAGCATCCAGGAAACTGTGGCTGGCTACCTCATAAACTGCAAGTAGGATCAACTCTCAGATTCTTCCTAGTTCCTGGCAGGCACATATAGGACACGGGCAGGGACTCTGTGGTGCAAAGAATATAACAAGAAAGTGTGTACTGGAGTATGGGGCATGGCGTCAGAGGTGGTGAGCTCTAGGCGTCTGGCCATTTCTGCTGAGGCAGGCCTCGGGTGCATTTTGGCCACTTATTGTAACCATGCTGCCTTTGTGTAAGAACAGTGTGTTGTTGTATCAGAACCAACTTGTAGCTAGACCCTCTAGTGGTTTTCAGAGGCTGTCAAACACGGTCAGTGATTGCCCATCTTTCATCTGTGGAACAGCTGGTGGATTTGCACTGCCTGCCTTTGGGTTGGCAGCGTAACTCCTTATCCACTAGGCCACCAGGGCTCCCTGTGTGAGCAAGGAGAATCCATAAACTAAGCTGGAGGAGCACAGGTTTGAATCAACCTGAACCAATGAGTTAATTTTTAGCAAGGGAAGAGAGTGAAAAGAGATGATTTCTTAATATCCTGAACTGTTATGAAAAATGTTTGCCTGCATGCAACTTCATAATGCCTCTATTAAGAAGTAGAGGAAGTACACCCTGAGTGTCCCAAATAAACAAGGGACCGTTTTATCACTAGCTGCCATTGCTGTCAGGAACCCTGGTGGTGGTTAAAGCATTTGGATGCTCACGAAAAGGTCAGTGATTCAAACCTACTAGTCGCTCTGTGGGAGAAGTGGGAATCAACTTACGAAAAGATTCACAACCTTGGACACCCAGAGGCCAGTCTGCTCGGTTCTACCCCATGGCAGGGGGTTTGGTTGGGTTTTCTCATCACTACCAATCATCTTGGTTACAAAAGGAAGCAGTCACCGAAGCGGTGACCCTTTCATATTCACAGAATATGACTCTGGACAAACAAGTTTTTATCTAGGCCTCTTATAATGAAGGGGATGTATGTTCCAGTTTTGGAGAGAATGAAGCCAAGAGAGAGAGAGAAGGAAGAGATCTCAGCGAGAGAGGGCTGCAAAGCCAGTGTGAATAACATATGATAATTGCCTAACATCTTTGTAAAAAAAACAAAGGGACTTTGTTGAGAAGACCTCTGACCCATCCTGGCTCTTGGAGTTCTGAGTGTGTCACTTGCTGCCTGTTAATTAATTTATGGCCTGCAAAGAATGGAATTGTCCTGGATCTTCAGCCAAAAAAATGTTGCCATAAGCAGGGGCCAAGCCGTGCATGGTCGTAAGAAGTTATGTTCTCCTAAGAGTGATGAGAAGGATTTGAAGAGCATGACCTTATGAGACTTGGGTTTTGAAGCCTCCCAAGAGAGGACTGGAGACCTTCTCATGGAAATCATGGGTAAACCACGTTTACTCCATGGAAAGTCCCCACCCCAGCCTCAAATCAGGGCTTCCTCATTCTTCAGACCTGGCACTTCAAACAAGAGGCAGAACAGCTCTCGGCTTTAGAGCTCTTTCTGGAATTTCCTACTGCTGGCTTTTCCTTTATTCAACACATAAACAGCCAAAAAGCAGGGATATAGGCCTAAAATGGGACCCTTGGCTCCAGGTTCTTTGCCTTTCTTCCCACTAGATCCTCTTGCCCTTACCTAGACTCTCCACCAGACTGTGGGAACCGGCTGGATGCAGAGAGAACATTTTGGGGATGAGAGGAGGCTACACCAGGACAGGTGATGCTTGCACCAGAGAGATAAACAGAAGCCTTGTTTGGGGCACTGAGGCTTTCATAAGTCTATTGAGCCCACTTCAAACTTGGCCAACGGCCTGGACTGAGAGCTGGAAAAGCCGAGGCAACTGCTGCCAGGAAGGCTGGGAAGCTGCTGGTGAAGACAGTGAGGGGGGTTGGAAGGAGGCAGGACTTTGGAAACAAGACCCAGCCACATACTCAGGGAGCTCCCAGATTTTGGGAGGTGCTTTTTGAAGACCTTCCCCAACATTTTGAAACTCCAGAATTTCTCAATCCTCCTTAGTGGCTCAAAGTGCCAATCTCACAGTTTTTTAATTGACACACAGCTCAGATCCGGTAAACAGGATGGTCTGAGGTGTGGGGGCGTGGAACCCATCAGGTATAAAAAGGAAGTTGGAGGCTTGGGTGGGGGGGGAAGGAAGTTGGAAGCCTGGGGAAACGCCTGTCAGGCAGCTAGCTGAACGCCAGGAGCCCAGGGCAGCATAGGAAGAGGACATTCCTGCTCTGCAGCAGCCAGGATGCATCTGAGGGCAGTTCTGACAGGTCTGTGGGCTGGGCCAGGGGGACTGGAGTAAGTGTTATGTTGTTGTTGTTGTTATTATGTGCCATTGAGTCAAATGCGACTCATAATGACTCTGTGAACAACAGATCTGAACCTTAGAGATTTTCAGGCTGAAAGGTCCAGGCAGCCCATAGAGCCCTGGCAATGTGAGGCCAGGCCTCCTGTCTACTAGGCAAGGGGATCAAAAGTCCTTGGGGACAAATCATAACTGATTCACAGCTGACCATCCAACTAGTTTTCAGGAGGTTGTAAACTGCCCACCTTATAACTGCTCCCAGTGGGGATGGGGGGAGGCTGCTGGTTGCCAAGGGGAACAAGGGGCCTGATGGACCAGATGGACTGACTCTGGATTTCCCTGCAGGCTTTGCAGTCCTGGTGCTGCTCCAGTGCTGTAAGTAACCCGAAACCTGTAACCCATAACCTAAAACCTGTAACCCATAACCCGGAACCTGTAACCCATAACCCGGAACCTGTACTTTCAATTCTTCATCAGATTCCCATTTTTAAGTCCCAGAAGTTGGGAGTGGCTTGGAAGTGTTGATGTTTTTCAGATTCTGTCTGTGATTCAAATACATGGCTTACAGAATCGAACATTTTTAAAATAGATGATAGATTTATGCAAGTTTAAAAAAATGTGATTTTCTACTTTTCTCTATATTTGACGTTTTCCTAAATTAAAATAATCCTGAAGTTTTAGTTTCAATAACGGCCCTGGGGGAACCGCCAGTCCAAGCCCAGTATCCACATGGATGACTGATGCTCACTGTTCTTCCTCTATTATCAAGAGCTTACTTTGTTTGGAGCAGGAGGCATTCAAGTCAGAAAAGAACTTTCCAGCCCAGGGAGATACTGTGTTCCAGTTTAGGAGTGTGGGTCAGAGCCTCTTGCATCAGGGGCCCCATTTTAAGTCCCATAAGGCTGTCTCCTGAAAGGCAAGCTTTCTTCCCATGCTGGCTGCCTTGCTTCAGTCACTCTTTCCTTCAAGGTCACTGCCTCCAGAAAGCCTTCATCACAGGCATGGAGTTAACTATGTTTTGCCTTTTTTCACGAGTATCACCCTAACTCCATGCACCACCGTGTTGTTGTTCTACCGTGTGTTTATTAAACTGCAAGTTGATATTTTCTAAGTATTTTTGAAGTGTGCATGATTTTCACCAGACGGGGAACTGCCCAGGGAAGAGGGTTGTAGTCAGGGTGGTGGGGCTCCTGTCATTAAAATTTCAGGTTTCACTCCCAACTCTGCTATTTACTCACACCTCCTTAGAGTTCAGTCACGAATCCGAGCCTAGACCTCACCCTAGACTTCTCCCTCAGGCTCCACGTACAAACTGGTTTGCTACTACACCAGCTGGTCCCAGTACCGGGAAGGCAACGCCCAGTGCTTCCCAGATGCCATCGATCCCTTTCTCTGCACACACGTCATCTACAGCTTTGCCAACATAAGTAACAATGAGATTGACACCTGGGAGTGGAATGACGTAACGCTCTATGACACCCTCAACTCGCTCAAGAAAAGGTCAGACAGTGGACCCTGCAGTCCTGGCAGCCAAGACAGGGCAAAAGGGTGACTGAGTTGGTCACATGGAAGAGTGATTTTTCCCAGGAGGTTGGGTGAGGGCCCACAGTACCCACTTTTAGTGGTGAACTGGAGGGACTTGGGCTTCCACAGGAAGCAATTGTAAAGTTGGGTGCTGCTGGCAAGTATCTGGAGTGGTGATAGAGGTGATAGAAGACAGCAGGGGCTAAGCATCCCTGGGAGTTGGGGACCCCTGTTGTTCCCCAGGGGAACTTCTCCAGGGAACATGGAAACTGCTTACCATTCTATTTGGGCATCTCCAGCTTCTCCTAAAGAGAGCCAGAAATGGGTAGCATGCCTCAGAGTGACTGTCACCAAGTCTGTGATCACTTAGAATCATTGAATCTCAGGGTTGGAGGGAGCACAGATTACCAGCCCTCCTCTCAGAGCTCAAGATCTGCTATGACCTCATGGGGTCACCACATGTCATGCCAGCTTCACTCCATTCCCATTCTCCTCTCCTCTCTCTGCCTCACAGCAACCCCAACCTGAAGACCCTGCTGTCTGTTGGAGGATGGAACTTTGGCTCTCAGAGGTAGGACCCACTCCCAAGGGTAGGACTATAAAGAACAGAACAGGAATCTACTTCCCCCACTGCATGGGACACTGGCACCCAAATGGTTGCCAAGGGGTTTTGGGGCTTTTTAAAAACAAATTTATTGATATTTCAACAAAAGTTAATGGAAAACTTGGATTTCCATTCATTCATTATTGCATATTTTCCTCCCTACCCCTGTAGTTCACTTTTCTCTTGAAAAAGATTCTTTCATTGCTGTACAATTTCCTCCCTCCCGCTCACCCCCTAGTCCACTTTTCTATGCACCTTTTATTCTTGACTGGCCAAGTACAACCAAGGAACCATATCCTAGAGTGAGTTAGGAACCTGCCACTGTCCACAGTAAGTGGACACTGGATCTCCTGGGCCCCAGAATGTGCTCTTCCTCCCACCTTTCGCACCTAAAATCAAAGACTAGCTGGGAGCTACTGGCATAGAGACAGGAAAGAGAGGGGTAGAAGTGAATGGGAAGATTTTGGGGTGTACAGAAAGCTAAGAGTGGGTAGAGTTAGGGTAGATGACCATAAAAGTTCCCATGTATTGCTCTCACCCCTTCTCTCCTTTCCTGCTGACAGCATGCTGTCAGGTTTGGGTTCACCCCTGTCTTTCTAGGGGTCCTTTACCCTTTTTCCTTCATTTTCACTTTAACTCTTTTCTCATGGCCTATTTTTCACAGAGTATGCCTCTGTCTAATTACCTTAATAAACCTTTTCACTTCACTTGTTTTGTGGAATGAAAGAAGGAAGGAGGGAAGGAAGGAAGGAAAGAGAGAAAGAGAGAGAGAAACAGAGAAAGAAAGAGAGGGAGGGAAGGAGGGGGAGAGAGAGAGAGAGAGAAGAGAGAGAGAGAGAGAGAAAGTTAGTTCCCATTTATTGAGTATTAACAATACATGTGTCAGGCACCCTGTCCAATTCTTATCCCACATGATTTTCATACTAGCACAATTAAGTATTGGGAGGGATTTGAAAACACCACCTCTTTCTGTGGAGTACACACTGATTCACAGCTGACTCTCCGGTGGGTGTTCAGAGGCTGTATACATCACACGGATGGGACTGCCTGTCTTTGTCTCGTGAAGAGGCCGACGGGTCTGACCCACCAGAGAGGCACCACCTCTGGGTTAGCAGTGAACCTCTCTATGAACTGTATCATCAGAGTTTTTCATCATCCCTATTTTACATCTGGGAAAGCAGACTCCAGTTGTCATCTGAGTAAAGCTTAGCTCACAACAGAGCTGAACTCACCACCCCTGCTCACTCCAAGTGAGCTCCCATTCTCAGGGACTCTGCACTAAGTTTCCAAAGCTGTAAATCCTTTTTTACATATCTGTACTATTTTTTAAATTAGTTTGCATACAGTAATTCATACACATTGTGTTTCATACAGTCCCTGTATTGTTTCATATACTCATTCATAATGTATTTTCTATGATTACTATTGATCTATGCCTGTTATTACCATGTCTTTTCAAGTCCCCATTGAATCTTTCCTTTTCCTTCATGCCCTCCACCCACCCCAACATTCTGCCTACTAACCTCTACTGTTATAGTGAATTCCACCCTTGCTCTTATCCTACCCCCTTTCCCTTTCTCCTCCTTCCCCTTTGAACATTTATATACACCTTACTAGTTATCCTTCTGTTTTTACAATAATAGTCTTATGCATTATTTGTTCTTGTGAGACTAAATTACTTCACCCAGCATAATGCTCCCTAGACTCTCCCATTGTTTATAGTCTTTTACAAAATTGTTGTTCCTTTCTGCTGCATAGTATTCCATTGTGTTGATGTACCACAATTTCTCAGCCCATTCATTTGTTGATGGAAATTTGGGCTGTTTCCATTTTCTTGCTATTGTGAACAACATTGACTATGAACACAGGTGGGCAGATCTCTGCTCGTGTGTCAGTGTTAATTCCCTTAGGCTATATTTCTAGCAGTGGGATAAGTGGGTCATATGGGTTTCCTAGGTTCAGTTTTTTTGAGGAAATGCTACACTGCCTTCCAGAGTGGTTGTATTATTTTACAATCCCACCACCAGTACACGAGAGTTCCAATCTCCCCACATCTCCTCCAATGTTTATTGCTTGCCATCCTGTTCAATTTTGCCACTTCTGCTGGAGTGAGATGGTGTCTCATTGTTCTTTTTATTTTCATCTCCAAAGCTGTAAATCTTAGTGGGAGGTGACTGCCCCTCTTACTCCCATGGAACCACTGTGGATTCAAACTGTCAGAGAAGAGCAGACATTGGCTTAGCCGTGCAACAAGCTGTGTATTACAAGAGCCAGACTCAGAAACTAGAACTATCTGGCTCCAAAGGCTACATTCTTCCTAATTTGGGTGGGTCCTGTCTCACCACACTTCTCTAGGGTGAGGTGGGCTCCTGTTCACAGCACCCAGGCCTTGGAAACCCTACCACAGGGCCGAGGCTCCAGCATCTTGGTGTTAAGCGTGTTATCATTTGGCTCTGGTCCTAGATTTTCCCAAATCGCCTCCAACACCCAGAGTCGTAGGACCTTCATCAAGTCTGTGCCATCGTATCTTCGGACCCACGGCTTTGATGGGTTGGACCTGGCCTGGCTCTACCCTGGACGGAGAGACAAGCGGCATTTCACCACCCTGGTCAAGGTGCTGGCTGAGTGGAGGAGGTGGGAGAGATGGACAGGCATCAGGGAGTGGGTGGGTTAGAAGCTCTCTTCACCTGAAGGCTTCCTGGGAGCAGGGACAAAGGGACTGAGGCCTCCCAGCTCAAGGGCCAGTGACCCTGGACTAGGACAAGCCGTCTTGAATATCTCATACAGCAAGGGGGACCCCTGTGACCCTTCTGGGAAGTGCGCTGGACCCTAAAAGGCAGAAAGTGATGACTGATCATTTAATGGTACCATTATCATCCACTGCTCAGTGCTAGTCAGACACCTCCAATACCCAGCATGCTCTGCATTCAGGGGCATTCAGCCCCGTCTAGGGGCCGCCCAGACCTCCCCTGTTATCCCAAAGACAGAGTAACAGTCGAAGCAAATTGCTCATAATGTCAATTATAAATCACTTTAATTCTGTGGTTTCCTGTACCACCGTGAACAAAGTATGGACAAAAGGCATCATTTAGGAGCCAATCAGGATCACTCATGCATGCCGATGAGGTGTGGGTGAAGGATGGAGAAGGAGATTGGCCCACACAGTGTTCTGGAAAAAAGATGGCTGACCCTGAGGGTGAGGCCCCTGGTGGGGTCACCTTATCTTTCCACTGTACCCCAAAGAAGTTGGGGATCACAGTCCATGGGGAGAGCCCGCGAGGTGCCTGAGACCCCAGCCTCCATCCACAAGCCTCCCTTTCACAGCTGCCTGTCCTCCCATCCAGGAAATGAAAGCTGAATTTGCAAATGAAGCAGCACAGTCAGGAACAGACCAGCTCCTGCTCAGTGCCGCAGTGTCTGCTGGGAAGGTCGCCCTTGACAGTGGCTATGACATCCGCCAGATAGCCCAGTGAGTCTGCCTCAGGCAACCCCCCACCCCAGCCTCTGTGTGCACCCCTCTCTCCCGCACCCTGCCCTGGAGCTCTGTGGAGTCAGGACACAGGACTTCCAGAAGTTCAGCGCATGACCTTAGGTGGTTCACTTCCCAGGTCTATGCCTTACCCGTCCCCCTGTCTGTCAAGCAGGGTATAACCATCCTTGCTCTGTCTTTTCTGTTCTGAGAGCTCTGTTGACCAGTTGAGGAAGTTGTGCTAAAGGTGTTCTGGAAAACGAAGTGGAGAAAAGGCCTGCACATCAGCCAGTCACCAGTGGGCATCTCCTCCGTGCCTGGTGTAGCAGAGTGTCAGACTCCAAGAGCAGCAGCAGTGTCTTTCACTTCTGGGATGTGGGGGAGTCCTCACGGTGCTTTGTGGGGACAAAGTTCTAATGGTGCTTCATGGGAACAAAGGCCCCCTGCCCAACTGACCCATCCCCATATCACCCTGCCTCCATGTATGTGCCATGAGTAACCAAGCAGTCGGCCCCTTGATGGAACTAAAGCATGCATCTTGGGAAACCAACAAAGACTCCTCAATCTATCTCTAGAACCTTCTGTAGGGCCTCAGGAAGATATAGACGTGGTGCATGACTTGATCATTTAAAGGGTGGAAAGAGGTGACTTCCAACCATTTGCCCCAAACATCCAAAGCTCGTATTCATAAAATCTACCTACGGTCCAGAGACTCCACGGCCTTGCCAGCATGGGTGTGGAAGACTTGTGCCCACTCCATTGTATCCTTGGGCTCAGGTTAAGCTTCAGCTGCCCGTTGATGCTATTTGTAATCTGCTTTTACCAACTAGAATGGGGGGGGGAGGGAAGGTAGCAAGATGGAGCCCCTCCCCAGTGTGTGCTGGTGTCACAATAAAAAGATCCCTTCTTTGTTAAATGGAACCTGGGCCCACACCCTATGTAGCTGAGGGGGTGCCCCAGCAGCAGGGACAACAGATAACAATGGAGGGCCAATGGGGTGCGGGGGTTCATGGCTCTTCTCTCACCTCCCTACCTGTCCTGCTGCCAATTCCACTGGGGTTAAGCTAGACGCCTGCCTTTCCTACCATCCTCTTCTCAGACACCTAGATTTCATCAACCTCATGACCTACGACTTCCACGGAGCCTGGCGTCAGACCACAGGACATCACAGTCCCTTGTTCAAAGGCCAGGAGGACGCGAGTCCTGACAGATTCAGCAACACTGTGAGTGGCTGGGAGGGGTGAGGGCCAGGGTCCACGAGCCCTCCTGTGCTCACACAACACCCATCTAATTGTCAGTACGATCCTGCAAGACAGGGGTTATGATGAGGACCCCTAGGCTGTGGGGATTCATGGCTTTTCTCTCACCTCCCTGCCTGTCCTGCTGGGGTTACTTCATAGATGAGGAAACTGAGGCCCAAAATCTGTGCATTCTCTGTGGCTCCTGGACTGAAGGAGATCATACCTCCACAAAGGACCAGACATTTCCTGACCAGAGAGCTCTGCAGGGTGGACAGAGTGAAGGCATGGGACATAGGAGAGAAAGCACAAATGCAGGGCATGGGGGGCAGCGCCAAAAAGGCTGGAGGCTAAGGGAGTGCACATCTAATCTAAGCCTGCCATTTGCTTAGCTGTGTGATGAGAACAAATCATCCATGCACGCATTTGTCAAATAGTGATAATCCCTAATGATGGTTCAGTGGTAGAATTCTTACCTTCCATGTGGGAGACCTGGGTTCAGTTCCCACTGAGGCCAGCGCACATCACACACAGTCACCACTTATCTGTCGGTGGAGGCTCGAGTGCTGCTGTGATGCTGGTCATGTTATAGTGGAGCTTCCACACGAAGACAGACTAGGAGGAAAGGCCTCGAAATCAGCCAGTGAAAACCCCATGGCCACAACAAGTTGGAGTATAACCTCACCTTTCAAGGCAGCAGCATTAATTGTACACCCTCGCCCACCCATTCATGCACCAGCAGCCCAGCTAACCGGTCTCTCTGGTGCTGTTCTCCCCACCCAGGACTACGCTGTGGGGTACACATTGAGACTGGGGGCCCCAGCGAATAAGCTGGTCATGGGCATCCCCACCTTCGGGAAGAGCTTCACCCTGGCCTCTTCCAGTTCGGGGATTGGAGCTCCCACGTCAGGGCCAGGCATAGCAGGCCCCTTCACCAAGGAGGAAGGCACGCTGGCCTACTACGAGGTACGGGTTTGAGGAAGACGATCAGCAGCCCTGGTCAAGGTGGTTCCTCAGTCCTACTTTGCTCTTTGGGGAAACAGAGGGTCCCCGTTGACCTCGTGCCTCTGAAGAATAGGAAGTGAACAGGACTTTTGCTAACCAGTCTCCTGTGGACATCCTGGGAGGAGTTCAAGGGACATCCTTCTGTCAGATGAACTGGGGTCTTCCCAACAGTCCAGGAGAGAAAGGGCAGGCTTTTTAGTGCTGTGCCCTCTGTCTGGACCCACGGCTTTCCACACCCCTGTATAAGATGGAAGGAGAAGAGAGCCCTCTAAAAGCTCCAGGCTATAGCAGCCACTTTCTAGAGGACTTTCCCTTACATTTGCATATGTTTTACATAAATTTGCATGAAGCCTAGTCTTAGGGGATAGATGAGCTTGTTAGACCTGCAAGAATGAGGCTGAGGAAGAAAACTAGGAACTGGGAGAAATCTGAGAGGAGCATCTCCCTGGGGTCTGCATTCTCAGTATGGCTGCTTAACACTATCGCTGCCTCGCTTCTCTGCCTAGATCTGTGAATTCCTTCAAGAAGCCACAGTCAGAAGACTCCTTGGCCAGCAGGTCCCCTATGCCACCAAGGGTAACCAGTGGGTCGGCTATGATGACCAGGAAAGCGTTAAAAGAAAGGTAGGTTTCCCCAGGGGTGGGCCCCAGCAAAAAAAGAGGGAGGGAGAGGCATTGCCCCCCAAATCCAGATCCGGGGCCCCTGACAATGAAGGAAGAGCCCTGTGCCAGAGGTAAAGTGGCTGCTAACCAAAAAGTGCTAGTTCAGACCAGCCTTAGAAGGCCTACGGGTTTCCCTACGATTCTGCTCCATCCTGTAGGGTCAAAATGGATGTCATTACAGTGGGGTTTGCCCTGAGGGTTGGTGGTGGTGTGTGCTGTTCCTGCCCCTGAGGAGGGGCCCCCAGAGCAGCCCCCTCCTCGTCCCAGGAAACCCAAAGCTGCCTCTTCTGTGTCTCCCCCTCCAGGTGGAGTACCTGAAGACGAGGCAGCTGGCGGGCGCCATGGTGTGGGCCCTGGACCTGGATGACTTCCGGGGCTCTTTCTGTGGCAAGAATCAGCGCTTCCCTCTCACAGGCACCATCAAGGATACACTCCGTGCAGCCTAGACCCCCCTCTCCCAATCTTCCGCTGCCCTGCCCTCGCACACAGGGGGCCAGGGATGCCCCCACCCTTGGCAGCAGTTGGCCAGGAGCCTGATGCTGGCCTGTTCCGTCCCAAGTCGCATCTCAGCCTCCCTTCCTTGGAGCCTGTGCAGAAAGCCATAGCTGTGAGGTTTAAGCTCAGCAGTGGGGAACAACGGGACAGGAGTGGGCCAGTGAGGGCCAGCATAGCTAAGGCACAGAGTTGGTCCATGCTTGCTGAGTAATGAAAATGTTGACTGACCCCACGCCCAACACAAGGGAACGTCTTCAGTTCCCTTACCCCCTCCTGCTCACCAAAAAGATATCAACTGCGACTCAACTCAAGTAGGCAGACATCTCAAAAGAAGCCGTGCCTGTACTAATTATACTCTGCCAAAGCCCAACTTGAAACCTTTCCCCAGGAGCATAATCATGTCTCTCATCCCACTTCCCATTCCTAAGTCCACAGCTGCTCAATAAAGTACAAAAGCTTAACAGTGTGTGGCACTCATTTCAGTCCCTCTCTGTGGCCTTGTGGGGCTCACTTCCCGGTGTTTCTGGATTCCTTTCTCAGAGCTGTGGCCTGAGCGTCCAGAGACTGAAGCCTCCACGTTGGGGGGGGGGGGGCAGTGTCCAGGCAGCCCCAGCGGAAGGCCAGCACCCTCAGACTCATCTTCCTTGGGCTTAACCCAGCAGGGCTGGTGGTGTCCAAGATCTTAAAGCGTCATCATCATCAGGCTTCGTAGTTAAGTTCCTTGTTGAAAGAAAACTTTTCTGCTTCTGCAGCCCCGTAGATGCTGCGAAGGAAGCCCTTTGACCCCATCACTTCATCTCACTGTTCTCCGGAAGGTGGGGAAAGCCACATGACAGTTTAGAGAGCCCCGAGCCGTGGCTCATGGGGTCAAAGGGAGTGGAGGTCCCCTCGTGCACCCTCCCAGGACTGAGGTCTCTGCCCGGCCCTCCCATTGCTGTCGAGTTGACTCTGACTCTTACAGGACCGGTGAGCTTGCACACAGGATTCCCACCCCTCAGTGTCTGGAAGCAAACTGTCCTATCTTCCCGAGAGATGATTCAAACCACTGACTTTTCCGTTAGCCGTAACCACTGTGCCACAAGAGGTCCTCTCAGTGGGACACTTGAGAGATTTGCCTAGTGGCAAGAGTCCCTGGATTAGTGCACAAACGACTCTATGCTTGACTACTAGTCAAAAGGTTGGCACTTCATATCCATCCAGCAGCTCTTGAAAGATAGTAAAAGTCTTCTGGTGAAAGTCCACAACCTTGAAAACTCGGACACACGAGGGGTCAGCATGACAATAGTTGAATGGGCAGCAGCTACCAGCGACCCAATGCCAGGAGCCCGCTCTCCCTCTCTCTGCCTTTCACACTGTTGCTGGGCAGACATCAGCCAGCACTCCCAGAGCTGCCCTTGAAGGAGCCAGGAGCACGTCCCTGACTTCCGTCACAAGTCCGCAGAGGCCAAGGCACCTCTGCCCCGTGACTGGAGACATCGAGGGTCTGATGGGATGGGGTGGGAAGGGCGGGCATGGAGGACTGACCACTTTGTGTTTGGAGGTCCTCTCGCCAGCCTTCTGTGAACCCCTGCACCCCCGATGTATCTGCATCCAGAGTTCAGGTGCTCACTCTAAAATCAACTCAAGGAGGGATGGGCTTGTGGGTTGCTTCCCTGATGTTTGGGGGATCTAGGACTTGTCATAGTCACAAATTGGCCTCAAGGTTCCTAACACTGGTTTGAGGCGTAAGTAGGGGTGGCTGCCCTGAAATCTGAACCAGCTGGAACTGGACAGATGCAACTGATCCCAAGGTCACAGTCCTGCTAGAGGCAAAGAAAGTGAGAACTTGGCCAGAGTCTTGGGAGGAAGCAGGGCCAGGAGAGACAAGGACTCCTTAATCCCTGCCTGCTGCCCACCGTGCCCCACACGGGACTTTGAAAGCTCAGCGCCCTTCTGGGCGTCCCCCTGGTGCCCACCCCCACCCCTGCCTGAGACAGGCGCCCCGGGGCTGACTCAGGGTCCTGCAGACTTAGTCACACTCACTTATAGCTGTGGAGTCAGAGGCCAGGGATGGGGATCAGGTCTCCGAGGTCCACATTCTGCACAGCAGGACACAGTCACCTGGCAGAGGAGGACCTGAAGCTCCCCAGACCTCCACTGCCATCTCCAACTCAAGAGCCTGGGCTGAGAGATGGCCAGGCCAGGTCCCTCTTGTGCCCTCTACTACAGACTGAGGGCCCAGCCCTAACAGGCTGCCCATTAAGTGCTTTGACACACATCAAGTCAACACTCTTGGACGCCCTGGGTGGTCAGTAACCCAGAAGTTGACCCTTGGAGCCCACCCATCGACTCCATGGAAGAGAGGCCTAGAAAACCGTTTCCATAAAGATTACAGTGAAGGAAACTCTATACCCTGTAACAGATGGGTGGCCATGAATCAGATGTCAACTCAAAAGTGCCTAACAGCAACAGGACTCCAGGCAAGCTAGAGTCCATAACGTAGATCTGTTTCCTTTAAAGAAATGGCACAGAGCTAAAAAGCTGTGTAACCATCACCCAGGATGGAAATGAAGCATCATTAGAATCCTGGAAGGGGTATCTTCAGCCCCTCTGCCTAGAAGCCTGCCCTGGCTTTTGAGACAGCCTTGTTCATGCTTTCTTCATTGTTATTCGGTACCCTCGTGTGGGAACTGACTCATAGCTGAGCTTCTGGTGGGTTTTCAGAAGCTTTAAATGGCACAGGAGGAGACTGTCCATCCTTTCCCCACAGAGCAGCTGGTGGGTTCGAACTGCATGCCTTTAGGATGGCGGCACAAGTCCTTACCAGTAGGCCACCAGAACTCTGTCTTACCACCCATGGATGGACCTTAAAGCAGAGAGCTTAATTTAGCCTGGTTTTTAATTGAAGTAGATGGAATGACATCACCAGTGCTTCCACGTGTCTTGCTTACTTTATTTTCTTTTCTGCTCACCGTCCGTCATTCTGCAGGATCATCTGTGTGACTTGTTGGGTGTGGCTGAAGTTTGCGGGTTTGATTCCAACACTTGTTTTTTGGTTGCATAAGCACCACACAGTTATTACCCATTCCTCTGTTGATGGAAGGTTGTTTACCCCCAGATACAGCTGACTATTCTGAAACAATAGGTCTCTGGGGACATGTATATGAGAACTTCTCCATGCGTGTGTGTGTGTGTGTGTGTGTGTGTGTGTGTGTGTGTGTGTGTTTCCAAAAATGCAAGGGCTGGATCACAGGGTGTACAAGATTTCAACTTTATTCAATCCTGTCTTACTTTTCTCAGAACGGTTGCTCCATCACGTACTCCCACCAGCAGTGAGAGTTCTTGGTGCGCCACTCCCTTCACTCTTAAATTATTGCCAGTCTTAAAGTTTTATCGAATGAAGGAATAAAGAAATGAAGCAGTGGCAAAACCAAATGTGGTCATCCCTGCCTCCTCTCCCCCACTGCAGGGACCCATGCCCAAGCGTCTTAGAGTATTGCCCCCCTCTGAGCTCTCTCCAGGGGATAGTGGACTAAACGTCATGGTCTTCGTAGCTGATGGGAACACTGAGGCCCAGAGCAGGGACTAGGGCCTCGTTAAGAGCAGCAGTAGCAGGAAGGCCTCTTTCCTGCAGTCCCGCTGACAGAAGTCTGTCCAGGGACTCTCCTCCACACAGCTGCCTCGAGCATCCCAACCTCCCCCTTCAGTAGTGCCCTCCCCCTCACACAACACAAGAGACAGTCCCTAGGAAATGTGGAGATGTGAGAAGCGAGGGGTTCCGAGGTAAAGCTATTTCAGGGCCCAGTGCTAGAAGGCCTAGGCACAGTGGGTCCCAAAGACGCCAAGCACACCCAGGCAGCTCATGGCTTGTTTTCTAGAGGAACGCTCTCTCCCACTGCCCTCACCCCTGGCACAGGCCCCCCGTCATGTCCCATCTCACCCATCTGCACCCTCCCCCATCTGGGCACCAGCACCTTGGCTGCTGAGACCCAATCGGGTGACGGAGGAGGTAGTGTGCTCCTCCTGGGACCCCGTGGTTCCTCCCCCAGAGCTATTCCTGGCCTTGGCACCTCCCCGTTCCTCAGTCCCCCTGCCTGACCTGACCCCACAGCTGGGAATAATTTGATGGGGGGAGGGCAGCCCCTGCCTATATATATGCCAGCACCCAAGTGTCCCGGCCACTCTCCACTGTCGACCCCCGCACACTGCAGCCTGACCCTCAGCCAGCTTGGCAATGACAGGAAAAGCCACCTCCGAGGCCTCCGCCCCTGCACCGGAGGAGACAACCTCTGAGCCTGCCAAAAAGCCCACCCCAGAGGCCTCCGGAGAAGTGGCAGCACCAGAGCCCCCTGGGGAAGGGCAGGCTCCCCAGTCACAGGAGCCTGTCCCTGAGGCACCTGCCCCAGCTGCCCCCACGACTCCTAAGCCTGCACCCCCAAGCGAAGGTGACGAGAGATGGTGCAGGTGGAGGAGGGGAGGCAGGCATGGCAGGGAGTGGGGGCAGCTCCGGACTATAAAGCCTTCATCATCGCATGCTGACTTCTCCCTCAGATGTGCCCAGTGTCCCCCTGAAGCTGACCTTGGAGGATGTAAGCAGCAGCTCTGTGACTGTGAGCTGGGAGCCCCCGGAGAAGCTCGGGCGGCTAGGGCTGCAGGGCTACGTGCTGGAGCGCTGCGGAGAGGGAGGTGAGCCCACAAACGTCCAAGGAGGGGGCTGGAGGGGCCCCAAACCCTGCAGGGGGTCAGGCTTGGAGTGATGCCCAAGAAGGGAATATAGGTGATCCTTTGGTGCCACCACAATGTTCCAAAAGGTAGGAGGATGGTCAAAATGACCTCAGCTGGCCCTCCAGTTCCTAGAAACCTCTGAATATGGACCGGGGGCCCTGGGGCTTGGCTGTGATGAGAAATTGAGGAGCTAAGTCCAGAGGGGCTCTGCATGATAAAGCAGGAGGTGAAGCCAAAGAGAGAAGACAGAGTGAAGGGCTGTGAGAAGGGGGGGGTCCTTAGCACAAATTCCTGTTGCCACTGCCCACTTCCCTGGCAGCCAAGGTCAGCCTGGCGTCTACCCCGTCTCCTATCTTGCGGTGTGTCCAACCCCCCTCTGGGCTTCAGCACTCCCACCTCTGACCGTGATTCTAGAGGGTAGATGCCACGTAAGATTATTATGCCTTGGATGCCACCCGATGAGGCAAAGGATGGGGAAATAAGGTGTGGAGAGGGAGGTCAGCTCCCCCTGAAGTTTCGTTAGGAGAGGCCCCCTGAGTCTGGTGTCCACGGCCACACAGCCCATGGCCTCACGCTCTCTCCACTCCCCCCAGCGTCGGAGTGGGTGCCAGTGAACGCCCGGCCCCTCATGGTGACCCAGCAGACCCTGCGGAACCTGGCTCTGGGAGACAAGTTCACCCTGCGTGTGTCTGCGGTGAGCTCCGCAGGTGCCGGCCCACCAGCTGTCTTGGACAAACTCATCCACATCCAGGAGAGCATTGGTAAAAGGCCCTCTTCCCACCCCCTCCTCCCCGGGCCCCTCCAGACACCTTAACTGATGGATGGAGAAAGCAAGGCCAAAAAGGGCTGAGGGAACTGGGCCACGTTTCCCTCATCCTGTACTCACATGCATGAGCCCCATGCTCTCCCCATCTTGCGTTAGGAAAGTTCCAGAAGGAAGGGGCCTCTAGAGGCTATTTCAGTGAGTGGCCCAGCCCCCAACATTTCTGACCCCTAGAAATGAATGCTTAGGGCCAGACCTCAACACAGGGTCCCAGCGCCAGGAGGCTACTCTTCTTCCTGTCTAAAATCAGTCTCTCTGGTGGTCATGGACACTCACTCTCTGGCTACTTGCTGCTCTTTCATGTGGCCTGAGCTCCAGATTCTCCCAATCCAGGGACGGCTTTGCTCACCCCTTGCTGCACCAGGTTCCTAGTAGGAGAGAGGAGAAGACCTGCAGGAGGCAGTTCGATGGAAGACCCAGGAGGCTAGCTGCTGTCCCTGTTGCTAATATTTCTATTTGCAGGGCGCATTAACCAAAGTCCTAGCCCGCTGTCCTCCTGGGCTGATCGGGTTGCAGTCTGTTAATGGCACTGAGTCATCTGGTCTGATCTGAGGTCTCAGGGGACAGCCCGGGCCCCAGGGTGAAGAGAGATGCAGGCAAGCAGATGGCAGAAGGGGAGAACCCCGCAGCTCTGGGCCACAGGAGGAGTCAAGTTTGGATTCAAGAAAATCGCTTGCAGGACTGAAAGACACGGGAGCCACTGAGTGAGGGAGCTTAGACTCTCACATCTGGCCCATCCGAGCCAAGCGCTTCATCTCACAGGTGAAGAAATACATTTCACAGGGTCGAAGGATTCCCCGAAGGTCACCCAACCTGCGAGTGGCCGAAGCTGACTCCCACTCAAGACCATTCATGCTTCCCACCCAGCCCAGCTCCTCGTGGAGTCTTGTCTGCTGGTTTCCAAACCCAAGGACATTCCCATCCTTCGGGTCTATGTGAGACTCTGCCCCAGCCTGTAACTTCATCATAGATGCGCTGACTGGAGCCCAGGGCTCTGAGAGGCCACTGGCCTTGTCTTCAGAGGCCGCAGGCTGAAGGACTTAGGTAGCCTCTGCACCCATTTCTCCATTAAAATTCCTCTGGCAGCGCAGAGGGGGATTTCCTGGAGAGAAGAGGGGAGGTGGCTACGCACGAGGGCGGGGGTGGGGGAGGCAGCCACGCCCTCCTTGTGGGCAGGGCCGAGTGGGGGCCCTGCCCAGAAGCCTCAGCTGCCCAGCTGTCCCTCCTCGGCCACCTGGAGCCGCCAAGCATTCCGGGCCCCCTGCAGCTGCCCCTGGTGCATTCCACGCCTGACGTGCCCAGCGCTCCCAACGCCAAGTGCCTGCACATCTAATCCTCCGAGACACAGTGTTCCTTCTCTCTGTCTCCTCCTCCTCCTCCAGCCTTCAACCAACTGCTGCCACCTGTTTACCACTAAGGAGGCTCAGCATCCAGCCCCAGGCCTCGTCTGATAGGAGGGGCTGGGGGCGGGGCAGCGGGGGCAGAAGTAGCCCTTGGAATGCCCAGTGGCTCCAATAGTTACACCTTATTTAGATGATGATCAGGAAATGGGTGCTAAGAGAGAGTATCTCCAGCTCCAGCTTCTTGTAAGAAGAGAGAGATCCTAATCGTTCCAATATGGTCTAGAGGCCGAGAAATGGATGGCAGGGTTTCATGGGGGCATCTTTGAAACTCCTGGGCATGGAATTGGGAATTGGGGTGGGGGCTGCTGGATTAAGAAGCAGCATCACCTCCCTGCCCCAGAAGTGCAGTTCCAACAGGTGCAGCACCTGCTCCCCACTAGAGGGAGCCAGAGAGCTGGGCGGGCCTGTCTGGAGCTGGGAAATGCCAGGGCGGCAGGACAAATCCCAGCCTGGCAGGAGGAGGTGTCAAGGGAATGCCCAGGATGCTTACTGGTTCACACCACAGAGGCCATGCCCTCCCAGGGACCTCCTGGCTCCCTGCTCCCCAAGGACCTTCTGGGATTTGAGCCATTGGACCTCAAGAGCGAGCTCTGCTCTTCTCACAAAGGAGGTGGCCTCCGATGGCCAAACACTCCCATCAGGCCAGCAGCCCTCACCATTGTCTGCTCCCCCCATGCCCCTACTCAGAAGTCCCTAGCCGGCTACCCCTCTGCTGTGCTAAGCCCAGTCTCTCTGACTTTGATGCAGAAGCCCCCAAGATCCGTGTCCCCCGCCATCTGCGTCAGACCTATATCCGCCACGTGGGAGAGTCGGTCAACATGCAGATCCCCTTCCAGGTGGGTGAGCCCCTTGCCCACAGTGAGTGAGAGCCTGCTTTCTGGTGTGGAAATTGGGACCTCTGTCTGAGGTGTTTCAGGGGACTCAGATAATGTCAGGTCCCCATGGGTGTCTGCCCGGGACCCATTTAGATCACCTCTTTTGCCCCCAGCCATATATACAATTCATTTGTGATTCTCTAGCCAGTGGACAGGACAGGTATCTCCCCAGGGCTGGAAACTTGGGGGACACTGCTGTGGGCAGGACCTGGGAAGGACCACCAAGATGGGCTGTCCTGGGCTGGCCCCAGAGACTCCTGAGCTGGGTGGATGTGGGGTGCCAGCATCCGCCTACATCCTTTTTGCTCATTGTATTCTCTCAGGGAAAGCCCAAGCCTCAGGCTTCATGGACCCACAATGGCCAGGCCCTCAACAGCCAGCAGGCAAGTGTGCGGAACGGGGACCAGGATACCATCCTCTTCATCCGAAAGGCCCAGCGCTCCGACTCAGGCCGCTACGAGCTCACCTTGAGGGTGGAAGGCCTGGAGGCCAAGGCAGCCATTGACATCCTGGTGATCGGTAGGGGGCTGGGGAGCCCTACTGCAGGCCACGAGCCCAGGGAGTGTGGCAGGAGCCACATCTTAGGTGCGGGGGCTTGGTAATAAGGCCCACCCTCATTTCTACACCCCCTGCCCCCCACCCCCCTCCTGCAGAGAAGCCTGCTCCCCCCAGCAGCATCAGGGTACTAGACATCTGGGGCTCCAATGCTGCCCTCGAGTGGACACCACCGGAGGACACTGGCAACACAGAGCTCCTGGGCTACACTGTGCAGAAGGCAGACAAAAAGACAGGGGTGAGGCGGGATGGGGGGGCAGGCACTGAGTGGATCAGGGGCCCCTCCACTGGATTGAGCTGGGGACTCAGACGAGGACTACCTTCCCTTAAAGTGACTCTCTGTGAGTCTTCTGACAAGACCCTTTTCCTGTCTGGGCCTCCGTTTCCTTGTAAAATTGGCAGGGTGGTCACAGTCCAGTCAGTTCCCTCTCATGGCGCCCATTAATTGGGTTTTCAGAAGTAGATTGCTAGGCCTGTGTTCTGAGGTGCCTCTGGCTGGGTTTGAACAGCCAGCCTTTTGGTTAGCAGTCATGCTGAACCATTTACATCAACTTTTCAGGTACACATGAACCACCTGGGGAATTTGTTTAAATGCAGATTCTGAGGTGGGGCCTGAAATCCTGCATTTCTAACAAGTTCCCAGGTGAAGTCCTTGGCTGTATTTTACCATTCCAACTCCCAGTGTGACCTTTTAGATAAGAACAGCCTCAGGGTGGAACTTTTTACAGAAGCCAACTGCCACTTCTTCCTCCCTCAGAGCTTTTCCTCTGCAGCCCAGCACTTAGCCATTGTGCCACCAGGGTCCCCCTGGGAGGCTCCAAACTTCTGAGACTGCAGATAGGCCGCCTGTGGGGCCTAGCAACCTCTCCTGATGTAAAGTCCCTCAGAGCCCAAAGCTGGAGACCTCAGCCTCCCAGGGGGAGAGCAGTGGGAGGACCCCTCTGAAGCAGGGGCTGCGGGGCCAGCGGGGAGAGGTGAGGCTGATGGGATGGGGTCCTGCAGCAATGGTTCACAGTCCTGGAGCGCTACCACCCGACCACCTGCACCATCTCCAACCTCGTCGTGGGCAACGCCTACTCCTTCCGGGTCTTCTCTGAAAACCAGTGTGGACTCAGCGACTCGGCCGCTGTCACCAAGGAGCTGGCCCACATCCGGAAGGCAGGTGGGTCTGGGCCTGGGCCCGAGAGGGCTTCGCACAGCATCTCCTCCTTCCCACCCCTCTCTCGGGGCTGCTTCTGGTGTCTCTCTCAGGAGCACCGGCTCCCCACACCCACCCTGCATACGCGCACGTGGATGTAGCTGATGGATTTTCACAAACACATCAGACAAACTGCACTGATGAGAGGGGGAATGACACTGGATGAGGGGGGACCAGCCGAGCACTTGTTCTAAAGATGCTGCCCTGCCTCCAGCATCTTGGTGATCCCTGGGTCTCATGCACAGTGTCCCAGGGAGACTAGGGAGAGGAGGGCTCTGGCAGGTCTGCTAAAACCTGAGCCTCACCCACAGTCCTAGCAGAACAGCACATCGATGGACAGACTCAGAGCTATGGGTACTCACCGCCTCTGCGCAGGCGCAGACTGAGCTTCCTCTGCCACGTGTCCACCCCCAGCCCTCTGCCCCGTGTCACCCTGCGTGCCCCCAGGACCTCCTCCACTGGGAGTCTGGGTGGGCTCAGGAAGCCACACTCACTTGACCGCCAAGGCTGAGTGGCCTTGAATTAAGGAGAAAATGTTTAAAAAAAGAAAGCCAGAGATGCATCCAAAGACAAACAAATGAAATATGGCATCTGTAGGTTGCTGGGCACTATCCTTTGCCAAGATCCTCTCATCTTGCAGGGCCCCCTGCCCTGTCCTCACTCAGTTCACTGCTCTGATCCACAGAGGCAAGTCACAGGCTACAGTTTCTCATCCGTCAGGTGGTGACAGCAAAATTCAGAGGCCTGCTGTGCAGAATCTGGGATCTATAGATGGTGATTGTTTTAGGAAAATGGATGAGGTTAGTCTTAAGAGGTCTTCCACTTCTGCTGCCTCAGATTCACGATCTGCCCTCGCTTTCTCCCCTGAACTCAGACATCACCGCCAAACCCAAAGAGATTACAGAGCAGCGAGACTTCTCAGAAGCCCCCTCGTTCACGCAGCCCCTGGCCGATCACACGTCTACCCCGGGCTACAGCACCCAGTTGTTCTGTAGCGTCCGAGCATCACCTAAGGTGAGAGGACCAGGCTCATGGGGCCCTGGGTTGGTAGGTCAGTGAGACGAGCAGATGGAAGAATCCTCTCAAACATCTACAAGCACCCAGGGCCAGCCCACAGCCCTCCCAGCTCCCCACTGTGTTCTTCCAGCCCAAGATCACCTGGATGAAGAACAAGATGGACATCCAGGGGGACCCCAGATACCGCGCCATCTCGGATCAAGGCATCTGCATCCTGGAGATCCGCAAGCCCAGCCCTTTCGATTCTGGTGTCTATACCTGCAAGGCTGTCAACGTGCTGGGGGAGGCATCTGTGGACTGCCGGCTGGAGGTCAAAGGTAAGGGCTGGACAAGGACCCATTCTTAGGGACCCTCACCCCTTGGAAGGTGAGCCAGGACAGATGGGCTAGTGACTGTGGAGGCCATGCTGTCTGAAGGACTCCACGTGGGAGCACGGCTTAGTCTTGTGCCCTCTGCATTGTCTCTAATGCTCAAGCCCATAATTGCTGTCACTGTGTCAACCCGTCTTGTTGAATGTCATCTTCTTCCTCTGACCCTCCACCTTTACTAGCATATCTTTTCCCCCTCCAAGGACTAGCCCCTCCTGACAACACGCCCAAAGCATGTGAGATGTGGGGTGTAAGGACTGATAAATGGCATGAGTGAGGGAGTGTCCCTTTAACCCCGTCTCATTCCCACCACTGCCCCGAGGGACCCCCCGAGCCCTAACCTGCAGGGTCTTTTACAGCATCAGCCACACACTGAAGAGTGACTGAAGGCAGCGGTGATGAGGAGAAAGGTAAATGCTGGTCCTGCTCTGGGGGTGGTGCTGAGGCAGAGGGGAGGGTGCGGGGGAAGGCAGGGTAGTCAGATCCAGGTACAAACACAGAGTCACACATATAGCGCTGGAAGTACCTGCTGGGCCTGGAAGCGGGTGCCCCAGTGGATGCGTGCGAGCTAGGGGTCTAGTCCTGGATCTTGGGTGACCTTGGGCAAGGGACCTGTTTGTTCATCAGAAAAGGGGCAGGCCACCTCTTCCTGCCTCCCCCCCCCCCCCCCGTGGGGCTCTGGAACAGTAAGGTTTCCAAGAGCTAAGGATCAGTGCTCAGGGCTGTCCCTGAGCCCTGTGGATGGGTGCGGGAAAGGATGAAGGGTGCCTTTTCATCCCATCCTCTCCACCTCTCTCTCCCACAGGGCACATGCAGCCCGGCTCTGCCCGGCTTCAGGGTCTCAGAAGGCGTGCTTTCTGCCACGCGCTGCAGGCCTGAGGGTCCCAGCCTCGGTGTCCAGAATCAAATACCACAGAAGCCCATGGTGCCCATTTCCCCACTGGTGGCTGACAGAACAGCTCCCTGTCCTAGCCTGACCTCCCTCCCCGACAGGCTGGACCCTGGTACCCAGGGGTGGGCCTGGCACAGGGCGGCCTGGAAGGTGCCAAGATCTGAGCGTCTCTGCAGAGAGAGGGCTGTGCACTGGCGAGAATCACTCCAATAAAGGCATGTGGTGTACAGTGCGTGGGCCTCTGTCACAGGGAGCATCGTTTGGAAGGGGGAGGTGCTGTGTCACCAGGAGGGGGTGTTCAAATGTGTCACCTGAGGGAGGTGGCAGTGGGAGGGGTCTCGCGGGTGTCATGAAGGCTTTCCTGATGCGCTGTGATTTTCAGAATCTGAGGATGTCACTATAGGAACAGATGCTCCTCTTTGGAACCCTTGTAGCTTTGAACGCCTCCAGTCCTCAGCACCTCCCCTGCTCCCCTCATGGTTTCTTCTCTGCCCAGGTCATCTTGCTGCCTTCCATCAGTGAGTGAGGACAGCCAATGGTATGCTCACCTTGAAGGTTTACAGTCTTTTATTTGTCACATTACCCTCCCTGGGAGCCAGGACAAACCCCAGCTCTGAAGGAAGGGGGGAAAAAAATCCAAAGTGAAACCCACCCAACAAAACAAACCCCTGGCTGTTGAATCAGTTCTGACTCAGCAGCCCCATAGACAGAGTAGAACTGCCTGACAGGGTTTCCAAGGCTGGAATCTTTACAGGAGTGGATGGCCACATTGTTCTCCTGCAGAGCAGTGGGTGGGTTTGAACCACCGATCCTTCTGTCAGCAGCCAAGTGCTTAACCAGTGCATCACCATGGCTCCTTCAGAAAGAGGAAAGAACCTGGGATTGATTCTCCAAACCTGTCACTCTAACAGCCATGCTCCCCACCACCTGCCCCAATTGATGGTCCTCTGTACAAGAGGCCCAGGCTTATGGGAGTGGGGGGTGCAGGCTGAGCCTCCCCCAGATGTCTTAAAGGCCCCAATTCAGCAACAGCTCCTCAGACACCCCTTAAAATCATGCTAAATGTCAGGAGGACCAAGAGTCAATAACAAGACCTCCCCATTTCCCCGCCCGGTGGCGGTCTTCTCTGGCCCCAGCCAGTCTGTCACAGCTTATCTCAGGGGCATTCAAAAGCCAGCCCTTCCTCCACCCGCAGGAAGGCAGAATGCCCCCCAGGTTGGCATGTACAAGAAGCGCTGCACCCTCTGGTCAGAGGACAAAGAGATGAGTGGCCCCCAGGACAGCCCAGGCTGGTGGAGCAGACACAAGTGACACTCCAGGTGCCTCCTGGGGACACTAAGCAATGAGGGCTCAGTGCTGCCGCCTGGTGGCTGTTAAGAGGTCTACAGCCACTATTCCACCCTCTTGAGGGTAAAAATATCAAGTACCCACGAAGGGTCCAAGAGCTTGTGGAGGATAAAGCAAATGCTGGAAATGAAATTATTTCCATACCCACTGTTCCTGCCGCAGCTTAGTCTAATCATAGCCCCCAACCCCTCGCAGGGTGAGGAAGGCAGCCACCAGGCATGGTGGGGAGCTGAGTCCTTCAGAGTGGGGACCGAGCCCCTTGTCCCCTTAGCTGCCTCTGGAGAGGAAGCAAAGCTAAGACTTCCTCACTTCCTCCCATCTTGGAGGGAATTCTCTTAAGCTGGGTCCCAGGGCTGCAATCACTAACACCCCAGCACCCTCTCCCCACCCAGATTTCTCCCTTGCAGCCTCAGTCTCCCTAGGGCCTGCTTGACCCTATAGCACTGGACTGGCTCCTTCCCCCGGTCAGCTCTCCCAAACTTCCTCCAGGACCCAGGGGTGCAGGTCGATGGGCTCTTTGTGGAGGGGCCCCCTGCTGCCCCACACCCCACGGCCCAGCTGGAGACAGCTCAGGGAGGCGCCGGGGGAGTGGGGATGTGGAAGCCGGGCTGAGACTCCCACTATGGGGTTGGTGGGACAGGGGGTGGGGACTAGTCATCCGGCCTCTCTTCGGGGAGGTTGTCCTGGACGGCGGGGGCCGGCTGGCAGCGGAAGTGGTCATTCCAGATCTTGAGGAAGGTGACCCGGAATTTCTGGATGCGGAAGGCATAGACGATGGGGTTCATGGCCGAGTTGCCGTGCGTGAGGAAGATGGCGATGTAGATGAGGATGCTGGGCTTGTGGCAGGAGGGGCAGAAGAGGGTGATGCAGTTCAGGATGTGCAGGGGCAGCCAGCTGAGGGCAAAGAGGAAGAGGATGAGGGCCAGTGACTTGGCGATCTTGAGCTCCTTCCCATAGTACTTCTGCGGGTCCCCAGACGAGGCTGACACCTTCTTGTTGAGCTGCTTGCGGATCAGGTAGAAGACCTCCAGGTAGATGAGGACCATGAGCAGCAGCGGGGGCAGCACCCAGATGAAGAAGTTGAAGTAGACCATGTACTCCATGCTGATGACCTTCTCAAACTCACATTTGATCACCGGCTCGCCCGCGCTGCCGTTCGCCTCCTGCCTCACCTTGCCCAGGTTGTTCCAGCCAAACATGGGGGTCAGGCCCACCACGAAGGACAGAATCCAGCAGCCAGCGATGGCCACCGCGGCCCTCCGCGGGGTGACCACCGTCTTGTACCTGAGGGAGGAGAGGGCAGAGTGAGAGCAGGTCCCCAGCCTGTGGGCCTCGGGGCATGGCCTCCCACCCGGGACCTGAGGGTAGGGATGTCCTTTCTAGAAGGCTGAGTCTGCAGGATCTTAGACTTGGACCAAAGTTTACACTGCATTGGCTCATCTGTTCCACAGAGAAAGGAAATATTCTTCTTGTTGTTGTTAGGTGCTGGTGAGTCGCTTGCAACTTATAGTGACTCTCTGTACAACAGCTCTGGACCCTGCTCTATCCTGAGCCAGTCCCACTGTCTGTGACACACCTACTCCCATTGCCCCAGTCCCTGAGTCAATCCATCTCATGCAGGGCCTTCCTCTCTCTTAAAGATAACAAGAACAATACCAGATAATAACAAGGACTTCCTTTAAGTATGTTCATAATGATTAAAACACCAGTTGCTATAGAATCAACCTTTGCTGACCCCATCAGAGCAGCACAATGCTCCAGGGTCTTCAGCAGGGGTCTTCCTTCCAAGGTGCCCCTGGATAGACTTGAACCGCCAACACTTTTGTTGACAGCCAAACACATTAACTGTTTGCACCTACTGCCATCAAGTCGAATCCCGCTCATCACCACCTTCTTCCAGGCTTCAAAGGCTAGAAATCTTTACAGGTGAACACTGCTCATCTTTCTCCCTCAGAGGACCTAATGGATTTGAACCACTGACCTGATAGATTCAAACCACCAACGTTTTTTGGTTTGCGGCACAACCTGTAACGCACAACAAAACATCAGAGCTCCTTTTGCACTGCTCAACGACTAAGATTACACACACTCATTCATCGTTGCTGGATCGAAACCAACTCACAGCTGGCCCTCAGTCGGGCTTCCAAAGCTATAAATCACACAGAAGGAGATTGCCCATCATTCTCCCGTGGATTTGAACCACCAGAGAGGTTCAGCTTTTGGATAGAGGTGCTACTCCCTGTGTAAATAAGGATCACAGATGCTCTGCCTGTCCTCCCTGGAAAGCTCATACTCACTTCACAAGAGCCCTCAATGGGGTAGGCAAGAACTGGCAGAACAAGTGCCCATTTGACAGATGAGGAAACTGAGGTCCAAAATAGTCAAGTGATCTTGCCAAGGCCTACAGAAAGTGGCAGCTCTGACCAGTGTTTCCCAATGCACGTAACACTGCCCCAGACAGTCCAGTGATTAACAACCACTACTCCCCTGAGGCCAGTGACTTAATTGTCACAGTCTGACTCATCTCCCCTGCATTGGTATCTGTTTGAAGAAAAAGGTGTGCCTGATTCAGGCCATGGTCTTTTCAGTCACTTACTAAGTATCTGAGACCTGGACAATGCATAAGGATGACCTTTTTGTTGTGGTTATGGAGAAAAACACCAAATATCCCATTGACTGCCAAAAAAACAAACAACTATATCTTGGAGAAAGTGCAGCCAGAGTGCTCGTTGGAGGCATGTTGCTAGGAGAGGCTATTCCTTAGAGAGGGTCATCGTGCTTTGAGAAGCAGAGGGTCGGTGAAAGAGAGGAAGACCTTTAACCAGATAGATTGACACAGTGACTGCAGCAGTGGGCTCAAGTGTATCAGAGACGATGAGGATGGCACAGGACAGGGTTCAGATCTGTTGTTGACAGGGTGGCTGTGAGGTGTGCTGGCTCGACGCACCTAACCTCAACAACCCCTGCCCCTGTCGTATCCACCAGCACCGTCTTTACCTCCTACCTCGTCTAATCATTATGCAACGCTCATGCCCTGAGTGGTTGATCTCGGTGGCATTAGGAACCAGCTCTGCCATCCTCAGCTAATCGACAGTGATTCTCAGGAAAGAAAGCTGATGATCATCAAGCATTTGCTACACGCTCGACTCTTTCATCCGACACTTGTGTGCACATTTATGCATTTATCCCACAAACATTTACTGAGTGCTTTCCGTGCCAGGCATTGCTCTCTGTGCTGGCAATCAGATAAAAGACCCCTGCATTTATGTAGCTTTTATTTTGGGTGAAGAGACAGATTAACACTTTAAAAGAAAGGAAGTAAATAAACCAGGCAATTAGATGGTAATGTGCACTTTGAAGGAAATAAACAGGATGATGCCAAGGAGTGAGCTTTCCAGCCTTCGGCGAACATTTGTACGGCACATAGTAAACAGACGAAGCTGTCTCCGGACCAGAAGGGACTGGCCGCAAGGCCTCTGCCTGCTGCCCCTTTTCTTCCACTGAGGCCTGAGGGTTTCCACTTCGCCAATCTCCCCACCTCCCTTTAAATCAAACCAGTCTTCAGCCACCGCGTCCTCTGCCCACACACTGTCTTGGCGTGAGCGCCCAGCCCTGCTGGGACACGGCTCCGCGGCAGCAGCCTGCCCAGTTGTTTTTTTCCAGTGCAGCTTCTGAGGTGGATGGGATGCTCCCCACGCAAACAGCTCCTGAGGTCCGAGACTGGCAGGGGGCGGGGCAGCTCTCTACTGCTCTGACCAATAGGATATGTCAGGTTCTCCTTCCCTGGGGTGAGTCTGAAGGTCCCTCCACCTTAGACATTTGGGTCCTCTCACCCTGGATCCCACCCTTGACGGGGAGCTCTGTTGGCCTAATGGTAAGAACCTGCACTGCAATCCTAAAAGCACACTGTTCAAATCCACCAGCTGCTCCTCAGGAGAAGGATGGGCAGTCTCTTCCCATGTGGTTTACTGCTTCTGAAAACCCACTGGATGGTCATCTATGAGTCGGTTCTGAGTGATGGTATACAACACTAGGACCACCGTGGAAAACATTTCTTCTAGAGCCTTCTACCAGAGCCCACCTGCTCTGCAAGGGCTTCCCAGGACGCAAAGGGAAAGAGCTTAAAAGGTGGAGAAGCCTGCCATCTTCTGACTCACTCCTTCTAGATGAAAAGAACCTTGGGAACCGCATTTTTGATGTCCTCATCAGTCCCTGGGGAAGCTGAGGACCCCAACTGACCTCAAGTCCTCCTGGGTGGTGCTTCTCCCTTATTGGGTGTTCCTATCTTACTGGGTGTTACCCTGCCCCCAAACCAGCCCAAAGCCTTCAGCAAGTTCACCTGTGCCTCATGGAGCCTCTTCCTTAAATGACACCCTCAGGCTTGCCTTCCTGCTGTGACTGATAGCCATTCCATGCTGTTGTGTCCTCAGCAGAACAAGCAGGGCCCGGGGAGCCCAAGTGGAAAAAGAGTCTGTGAATTTGTGAGGATGACAGGTAAAGAACTGACGCCTTTGAGCTGTGGTGTTGGAGAAGAGCACTGAACATCCCATGGACGGCCATGAGAACAAACAGGTATGTCTTGGAGAAGGTGCAGCAGGAGTGCTCTTTGGAGGTGAGAATGAGGAGGCTTCACCTCACATACTTTGGGCATGTTGCTAGGAGGGGCTAGAGGGACATGATACTGGGAGAGCTGGAGAGTTGGCAAAAGAGAGGAAGACCCTCAACCAGGTGGACTGATGTGGTAACTGCTGCAATTGCATGTCAGGAAGTGTGAGGATGGTACAGGATAGAATAGGGTTCAGATCTTTGTTCATTGGGTTGCTATGAGTTGTACTTGACTCAACAGCACCTAACAACAACAACAAAAACTAACCTAAAGGTTGGTGGTTCAGACCCATCAGGCCAAAAACCACTGTGGGGCAGCTGTGCTTCCTGACTCCTGGGGTCTCCATGGAGTGGAACCGACTCAGGAACAGTGGATTTGTGGTTGGTTTTGTTTGGGTGCTTACACTACCCGTCAGAAGAGCTCCATTTAGGCTCCAGGTCTGTCACCTACCAGGGAACTGTCCCTCTGCAAGGTAGACAGTGGTATCGGGATCAAAGAAGCCAGTCAACATCCAGGTGTTCTGTCAAACAATGGCATCCTGCCTCATAGCGACCCCGGGGGATAGAACAGGGCTGCCTCATGGAGTTACCAAGGCTGTAATCTTTACAAGGGCAGAGGGCGAGCTCTTTCCCTTATGGAGCCCGTGGGTGGGTTCGAACTGCCAACCTTGTAATTAGTAGCTGAGTGCTTACCCACTGTGCCACCAGGGCTCCTTACCCTCCCAGTCAGAGGTGCTGTTACAGGTCTTTGCTTGACCCTCAAAGGTCCTAGAAAAGGTGACACCTGAGAAAACTCCAGTCTGTCTAGGTGCTCAGCACACACAGCGACAGCTCTCCTGAGGCCTTGTTCCTGATCATATCTCACGTCCTTTCAGAGAAAAGGAGTCCTGGCCATAAGTCTCTGGGGAAAGGGCAGAGGAGCACACGTCATTTGGTTGAGAGCAGGGCCCGAGGTACAGTCACAGCTGGCCCACGGTGGAGGGAAGGGGCAAGGCTTCCAGTGACCTCATCAGGACCTCAGGGGGCAGCAGCAAAAGGAAGGAAGGAGGTCAGAGACCACATCACCTGGTTACATCTGTCACTGATGTCATAGATATCATTTCCGTGCGTCAGATACAGGCCATGGTCTTTGCAATCACTTGTTATGCATCAGAGAGTTGGACAATGACTAGGGAGGATAGAAGGAGAAATGGTGCCTTTGAGCTGTGGTGCTGAAGAAGAGTATTGAGGGTACAATGGACTGCTAATAAAACAAACAGATTCATCCTGGAGAGGGTTAAACTGGGTGGCTCCTTGGAGGCAATGATTCTGATGCTCTGTCTAACATACTTTGGACATGTTGTGAGGAGAGACCAGTCCTTGGAGAGGGACATCATGCTTGGGAGGGTGGAGGGACAGCACAGGAGAGGAAGGTCCTCTATGAAGTGGATTGATTCAGTGACTGGGGTAATCGGGATGGGTGTGTCGGAGACAGTGTGATTGGCACAGGATAGAGCAGGGTTTAGGGCTGTTGTACATAGGGTCGCTATGAGTCGCAAGCGACTCGATGGCACATAACAAGGTTCCTGACTCAGGTAGTCATCACAGCTACTTGGGAGGTGAGCATGTAGTTTCACAGGTTAGCAACTCAAAGTCCAGAAATGGCCAGTGGCTTCCCTGAGCCTCTTAATTCTGAGATT